TTGATTATTATACCTCTTATCAGGAGGCTTATCTACACCTAGGGCTAGAGTGTAGTTAAGTTTTAAGTTAGGTATAGCTAATAGGGCAGCGGATAAAAACAAGAATACTTAAAGGTTAGAAGTAATAAGGAATACTAGGTAAATTAGAATATTAAGTAGTGGATGATATAGGGTTTATAGTGTTCCTAGTGTGTGCTCTGCCTAAAAATTTAATATAGCCTCTACCGCCTAATATATATAGAGGGAGTGTTAGTTACTATGGAAATTCCTGATTTATACGCAAACATTTAATTGATTGCTAGTCCGATATAGTAGATCCTATGCACTATAATGAGAGAATAACTAATATATATAAAGTCAAACACCTTAATTAGCGACCTTGGTATATGATTAGCTCTGAATAAGGCTGATGTGCGGGGTGTTTTATATTCTTGTGATGTAATATTGCAGTGCTTAGTTAAGTTGTGGCGAGTCTTAACTATATATAATAAGAAAGTTATGGGTTAAAAAAATCTATGATGCATGAGTTATGGCGTTGTCCCTTAAGGCTTATATAGGCGTAAACCGTGGCGCACGGGTTGTGGCGTAGATGGTTGAAGGAAGGAGGGGGTGGAAGGAAGAGCCTTTCGTTCCTTAAGGTATATGAGAGCTGGAAAGGGCTTCTTTGCGCCTACGCTATAAATTCAGCTGTTCTTAGCCCTGTACTAGAAACACACCCTTTTGTATATACTCCCCTTTTATATATATATTATTTCTTAGTTAATATCTAGGCACTTACCTTAGGCTAGAATTTACGACTTAGTTATAAATGCGTAGTAGTTTATAGATAAGTTAGTAGCTCCTACTGGTTGGATTAGCTATTAAGGACTATAATGTAGTAGAAATAGGGATGATTTGCATTTTCACTAATAGGAGTAGAGCTGCCTTTCCTCTTATAAAGAATAAGAGGTTGCCTATCTTCGCTTGTGCTACTTATTGTATGCTTTCGCGCTATGTGTCCTATCTAGTGTACTGAAATAGGAAGTGTCTTATTGTCTCGGGCGCTTATCTGTAGTCGTATATGTCTGTGTCTGCCGCTCTAATATTGTGTAGGTACCTATTGATCTGCGCTATGCCTATTAGTAGCTGTGTGAGCATATTTGATTCGCGTCTCTTGACTGTATTGTAGAATATATGTGTGTGTAGTCCTAGTAGTGCCTTATTGATTACTTTAGAGTATTATCTAACCCCCTTAAAGCGTAGCTCCTAGTACTACTGCCGCTACTGTGCTAGTGCTAGTCTGATCTACGTGGAGTGAGCCTAGTACGCTGGTGTTTCAGGCGGCTGGTTTACACGCGCGGCTCTCTACGCCTTAACTTTAGCCTCTCTCTCTATAGGAAAGTCTTCTCCGGAAGGGACCTATAGTATCTTGACTATGTTGCTGCGTTGTTTGAGCTGTTCGGCCTGCCTGTTGATTTCTTGTATGGTATACTGCTCTGACTGCTGTTGCGGCTGTGTGATTACTTGTAGTGCTAACCGGCTGCTCGTTATGACCGTTATGTCTTGGTACCGTAGTCCGTCCGGCAGGCGTTGTAGTGTTGTCGGTATTTAGAAGTTTTCCTATAAAGAGACTGGCAGGCGTAACTGACCTTCTTGGTTAAGCTGGTCTATTGCATTGTGTCTGCGGGAGATACCCCTGTCTTTATATATCGCCTGAAATGTAGAATAGATGTTATTAAGGCTGCTTCTAATAGGGTTATCCTTAATAGCTTCTAATTGGACTTAAAGCGCTATAATAGACTCACTCTACCTGTTGTGCTTGATTGTATGTCTATGAGCTTGGTTGTATGTCTATAAGCTTAATCGCATGTCTAAGGGTTTGATCGTATGCCTAGGCGAATGATTAGTGGTAGGGTAGAGCTTAGCCAGCTGATGATCTGGGGAAATAATTGTTGTATGTGAAGTCTCTTGGTAAAGAGATGGAAAGTCTCTTTATCGTATTGAATATATCTCTTATTAACCGGGCCTTGGAGATAGATAATGGGATCTGATGTAGTGCTAGATCGCCTTTACTGTTTGAGGCCGAGGCCGCTATAACTGAACCGCTGTTAATCGTGAACGGACTGGATGTAGTTCGGTAGATTCACCTGGGTTGACTTAACATTGGCCCTAAGTGGCATTGAAAGAGCGTATGGCTTCTGATATCCCGCTAGTGCTATGCAAATTTCGTCCACGTCGAGAAGCTGTAGGTAAAGCTGTTTAGACTGTGCGGTCAAGATAGTATCGACATTTCGGTAACTTTTTGGAATCTGAGGTTTTCGAGGCTTGAAATTAATGGCTGATATTGAGCGAATCTAACTGTTAATATTAACACAACGTCTTATACCGTTATGTGTCCGCTGTGGCGATAGCCCTAGTGGTAGCGATGATATGTAAATCTGAGTACAGATCCTGCACTATGGCAAAGGCTAGAGATTCTCATAGCTACACGACCTCCCATAGTTATATGCCTTGCAGCCACTTGCGTGATATTGAGCAGTCTTTCACGTGTGATGCGTAGCGTGTGGTTGGAATTCTTTCGGAAATTCTTTCTAAATTATATAACTAAGACTACTGAACCTATTTCGAACTCTACGTACGCGATGAGTCTAGTACATAATGAATCTGAGCTGAATGCCTTAAAGAGATGCATGGAAGTATATATAAGATAGAAATCGCCCTTTTATATTACATTACCTCTTTAATATGGGCTGCCACATTAGTATTTACATCATCACATTCAGGGGTTGGTGTAGATTGAAGTATCACCTGTCACCGCTAGTTGTATTTTGCCTGGGTAGCATGCGGATTATGCAGATGTGTCGCCACGAGGAGTTAGCATGGGCAAGAGAAGATGTAAATCTATAGAAATAAATATAATTGTTGTGTAGCTCATGGTAAAGCTTGCTTTGGTGGTAGGCTGGCTATATATGCTAGCTTTATTGGCTTTACTTGCTCTGCGTATGGTTTCTGCGCTGTAACTATAATGAAACTCAGAGCCTTAAGGAGAAAAGAGACACTATTATACTACTTAAGTGGACTCTGCGCTAATTTATCCCATTAGACGAAAAATCACCTGATAAGATTATTCGGCTTCTGGCTAGGCCTTCGCGGTATAGTATAGCTAGGCTTCTCTAAACTAATAAATTACCTGATATACTTCTTACATAAGACACTAAATTACTAGGCACGCTTTCACTAGTCTTAGATAAGTTGTAGTAGCTTTCTAGCGACTCTGAAAAGTATAAAAGATATAAACGCCTTCTTTAATCTCGCCTATATATAGTCCGGCTTGATAACTCTAGGGTTACCTTTTATTATACCCTAAGTACCATCTAGGAGTTTAAGTATAATATATAGATATGAGATGGGTATCTCCTTATTGCTATTTGCTAACCGCCTATAGAGCTCAAACTAGCGGAGGGACATAATGGGAAGCAGCGCGGAATTACTATATATAAGTAATAAACTATGGGGAATTTGATAGATCTTCATATGTAGGTTAGAGAAAGATATGATCATTAGGAACTTCTGGCTGTGTAGATAAAGGGTTTAGCTTTCCCAGAGAGGCTGCTAAAATTCATATCCCTACTGCTGTGTGTTATAGTCGACGAGTAGGTGTAGTAGAGCTTAAGTAGCTGAAATGATGGTGTGGGAAGGGATGAGATTGCTTATCGATAGATTAACTTAAAGCCTATATATAAGGGCGTTGACTGATGGCTAATCTATGCGTATTGCTAATGGTGCTAGTGCTAGAGCTTGGACCCCGGCCGAGTGGTTAAAGCGATTGGTTCTGGGTAACCGCCCAACCCTAGTGTGACTCTTGACGCTGTATCTTAGAACCCTGGGAAGAGTTTGCTGTAATACTAGTACGTGACTTTGCGTGCGCGGTCTGTTTAGTGTGCAACTTCGTGGGTCTTGTATGTAATTGGGCGCTCCTCCTGTGACTAATTAAGATGATCCCTGAAAGGCCTGGCAGTGAAGATATGAACACCGTTAATGAAGTTTTTGGCTAAGTAGGCCCCGATTTCCTTTAATTGACGGTCCTTGGGCTATACGCCTACTGGAAGCTTAAAAATCTGCACCCTGATGTTGTGGAAGCTGGCTAGCTCTAGCTATGCCTCAAATTTAGGAGCAGGATCTATTATGCCGCTAATTTTATTATGGGCTATCTTGAGGTTGTCCATTAGTTTAATGAGTGTATTGTTAGCTTCTAGAGTGTTATCCTCTGAGTAAAGTGTGTTGATGGTTTCCTGAAGCTCCACCCACTCACCCTGCTTTAAATGATCGTAGATTTGGTGAACTAGCGCCGGCTAGTTGGCGATGGAGCCAGCCATGTAGCGGCAATGGATGAAATTATAATCCTGAGGCTTGACCCAAACTTCTTCAATATCGTCAACGTAGAACCGTACTTTCGGTGGTACTTATTCCGGCTGAATGGGACTGAGATTGACGCTAACGATGGAGGCACTGGGATACTCATCTCTAAAATTGATGGCCTATACGCTGGTTCTAGTGCTAATGTTAAGGATTTTCAGATTATGCTTATCGGCTTTGATGGGTGTGAGGAAAAGACGATCCCTGAGCCCGAGCTTGTAAGCATGATGGACTAAGTCGAGGCAATCTTGCTCCTTCTTATTATTGGGATATATGTGTGACCCTTCGCGATAACTATGATAGTTTCGCCTATGTTTCTGCTTGAGTAATTGCAAGTATAGCCATTCTTTGCAAAGTATTTTGTCGGTTTGCTACATGTATCGTACTCGTATTGTATGTGCTTGCGATTGACTAGCGAGCTCGTCTCGTAGTGGCCTTGAAGAGTGGCTATATTGTGTACGAGTGAATCTGTTCCCTCCACATAATTACTGATTCCGTTTAACTTATATAGAAATGTTCATTTATCATTCTAAGTAACTACTTATATATTATCGCCTCCAGAGTGAGTGATATTCCCTTACTCGCACTTTCCACCTATCCTTTTGTTAGACGGGAGGGTTTATAATAGGCCTATGCGTAGCTATGGTAGTGCCCGCTAACGCATTCGTGCTAACATGCCCCTTTTCGGGGTGCTCACTATTCCCATGGGAGCTAACGCGGCTATACTGGGTGAAAAGCAAGTTTATGCGACCATAATCCCACTTGCGAGCGAGAAAAAGGAAGCTGAAGGCGATACCACAGACGAGGAGGAGATCAAGGATGCTGAAGAAGACGAGGCTCTAGGTAACACCGATGACGTTGCCGCCATCTGAGATAGCAAAGGCGATCGGGTACAGGAACTAGAGGAGGTTAGCATAGCCGGCGAGCATGGTGTGGTCACGACCAATCTTGACGCGGTTGGCGGAAGCGCGGCTCGCCTAAATGGTCTGGAAGGCGAGGAGGAGGTAAGCGATAGTGCTGAACGCGTAAAATCCCCACTTATACCGGGTGGCAGTGTAGGCAGAGCAAAGATATGAAATAATCCTATCAGCAGCAATCAGGTAATCTATCCTTATGTAAGTCAAATATCATAGAAGCTTCACGTACTAGATCTAGACTAAGAAGATATTGAAGAAAATGGTCGCCTAGCTTATGCCACTAACAAGTCTAAGAGCAATAACGATAACGGGGAAGGCGACGACCTAGAAGATGTACTTAGCAAAGAAGATCTGGTACGTCGCGGCGTCTCTACTATAGAGGTGTATCGGGACGACGGAGTAGGCGAGCCCGGAGGCTATGGCGAAGTAGGAGATGGCGCCGACGAGCAGGGCTACGGTGAAGAGGTAGTGAAAGATTTTCTCGCCATAGCGCGGCCGGAAACTAAGGGCGTAGTAGACGAGCTATTGGTTATTGTGATTAGCTATATATTTTGGGTGGAAGGAGTTAATAGGATTAAACGAACGAAGGCGAGGGTGAAGCAGGCTATGACGGCAAACAGCTAGTTGGAGCCTCCCTTGGAGAGATGAGATTGGCCGCCCTGTGGGTTGACTTTGAGGGCATCGTTGCGGGGTAAGATGAAGTCTATGGCGAGAATGGTGATAGTATTAATTAGTGTTGTTATGAGCTTAAGGTCAGCTTATTAGACTCTTATAGAGTCAGATAGGATGATACTAGACTAAAGATATTGGAATTATTATATAGTTCGTAAGTGGGTGATACACAGGATATGTAGAGATGGGGGGTGTTTTGCCTATCCTCTTATAGGTTTCTTATCTTACTAAACTTATAGGTTTGCCTACTTGCACTTTGTATATGTCAGCTCCCCCTTAAGTCAAAACATCTTCGTTATGACTTCGTGCTTAGTGGTCCTTTGATCGATAAAACCAGCCGATGATGCGTCAACGATTGTATAAGCCGCCCTCTCTCTATAAGTAGATGCCTAAGGGTTTAATGTGCTCTCCTTATTGTTTATATTGTGATTTCCCTCTCTATGTATGTCCCCTTGCCTGTATGTCCTGCATTACTAGACGGTATGCATATATGACGAGTATATCGTGAAGTATCCCTATGAGGGTCACGCGGGGTCGCACGCGGAGGGACTATGCGCTAGTGACTGCGGTATAATACGCTATCCCTCACTGTAAGGTTTACGAGAGGAGACTGAGCCACGAACGGGAAAGCTAAATATCTGCTTAATTAATAGCTACCTCTATGATACCCGTCGACTTGTGTTAATATTATGACTTTATTCCTAGTGCAACTTAAAAATGACCCTGTAACTTATCGCGTCTGGTCTTAACCCTATATGAAGTAGTGTATTAGTAATGACTAACTAAAAAAAGTATGTGGGTAACCTGAACATGATTGCACTGCATATGGTGCTATAATAGTGATGGCACCAGTGTCCAACCACGGAGAACCATTTACCCTGTGGCTTTTAGCTTAAGAAGCGTATTCTGGAATTCTAACCCTCCTTATAATATGGACTTTTTGGTCCGTCCGATGGCCTACTGATGGTATGCTGTGTTGCTGCTGTGTCGCTATCTGGTATCCTGATAGAATGACTTCACCCCTAGCTAGATAATAGCTACTATCTTGTGGATAACTACTGCGTTTGTTCCTGGTCAGAATGGTTGGTGGGCTATCTCTAATATTTTCCGTGCTGGAAGGTAGTCCTGTAGTGTTGGCTGGCAGTATTTTCTAAATTGCTAGAATGAAACGATTAAAATGAAATTCTATAGACTTGCTTAGGTAAGTCGAAATATAAGGGCTAATTGCTTGATTTTGGACTTTGAATAGGATTAATTTAATTATTTCAACACTTATTGAAGTATGTATGCCTATCTAGTGATCGTAAATAAGTCTTTGTTCTTTACGGCTAATGAGGGGGGGGGGCAATAAGGAGTCACCCCTATTAGCTCAGCTACCTCGAAGGGCGGTTAAGCTAGCTATTCCGGCGGCTTCGCTAGTATGGACCTAGATAAGCAGGTTTGTGATCCTACTGTGATGGCTGTGCTCCTCCGCAGAGTTCTGACTTATGTGTTAATAGCGAGATATTGCTTCTAAGGGTGGCCAGGCTTCCTCTGGATCTTTTGAACCCGGTAGTAAGAAGGCGAAGGAGGCCGGTTGTAAGGGAGGTCTTAAGTGATTTAGCTATTCTAGCACGACGGAGAATACTTTTGTTCATTAGCTTCATCCGAGGGAAATAGAAAAATGGTTGTTTCTCGAATATAGCTTCTCTTAAGAATATAATGTGATGAGGATATGAATTAAAGTGACTGTATGTCTAGTCCATGAAGGACTTTCTTTACCCCTTCTTACTTTAATAAGTTAATGCTTATAGATTGCCATAACCATGGCATTCTTAACCCTCGATCGGGTTCGAAGGTACTCGGGTAGGCCTCCCTGACTGCCTTAAGAAAATCAGAATCGCAGTTTGAGGCCACGTCTTGCTTAGAGCTAGAGTAGTTCTTGCGTTTCCCCTTGCGGTGAAGCTGCTGGGTGGCTATATTGCTTTATGTGGCTATGGTAACCGTAAGAATCCTGACGATGGTTTGACCAACCGTAGGCAGTACAGGGGATATCACTAGCTATTTGGATTATAGCATTAGCAAAGAGAAACATAATTTAAAAAAAGTTTACGCTGGCCTTTAAAGGGGTTAAGATGTTATGCCTTTTTATGAGGTGATTGCGGCGGGGACGTGTTGTTATATGTTTGGGCAGTATTTCTTTGGGTGTCGTATCATGTGGTAAGATACGTATTTGGAAAATAGTAACTGCCTGTGAGCGTAATGCGCCCGCCGGCTTGTTGAGCCACCCATAAACAATGAAAGCGCGCTAGCCAATCACAGAGCATAGCCACGAGCTAATGCGAGATAATGAACAAAAATTTTACCCTATTGAAAATCTATTGCCAGCGAACCTTCGCTAGTATAGCTAATCTTTTGGTCTAGGCGAAAGAGCTATAGTTGACCTAAGCGGCACACCCCTTATGTGTTACAGCTCTGTGGATGTTAGGAATTGGACAATGTTGCATTTGAGACCTTGGTCTGGGCCAATCAGTGTTAATGTTGATAAACACATAAACATAATATGATTGGCTGAGAATTGCCGCTTATATGATATGTCCAATATGTATCTAAGACTAACCCTAGACTAGGAAAAGCGCACTTTGGGTACGTACCCTTAGAGCTACGGGAGCTTAGTTATTGAGAGACTAAGCTGTTGGAGTTCTGCTGTATAGAGAGAGGCTGCCTTATGGGTACGTGTCTTATAGTCATTGAACGATAAAGCTTCTGACTTAGGTTCAGCTTTCCTGTATGCATTAGCATGTGTCACGTGGCCCTAACCATGAAGTAATACTCTCTGGAAAAATACACATGGGCTTCCTTGGCCTGGCCCTTGAGGAATATGTTTCTGTTGGAGTTAAGCGGGCGATAGGAAGGTATCGTTAACTACTGAGATAACCCATGAGCGTTGAAGCCCGTAGCCCAGCCTGTTCGAACGTAACATAATTCGCTAGTAACTAATATCAGGAATTCCGTGGAAGCTGGCCCGGCTTTGAAGGCAAAAGTAAGGTTTAATCACACGATAGCTGCGGCTATGATTTAATAGACCTAGAAGGATGGTCATCCGTGAGGGGTTAGTTGGCTAAGTTGGAAGGTTACAACCTAACTGGAACCGATCGTCAGAGCCCTGACCTACCGGCTCGAGCAACCCTAGCCGGTAGGATTGATCGTGAACCTACTGACTTGACGATTAACCTAATACCGAGAAATCGGCGCGGGCCTGATGCCTCGAAGAGCGTTCTGATCCTATTGAACACACGGCTTGAAGGAAGGTTATGACCTCGGTCATCCGGATATGAATATCCCTAGCAATTACTAGCCAGAGGGATATCGGAAGGACCCTACGAGCCTGAGACCGGGCTGCACTTATGAGAATACGATCGAGGGATTCTTAGGGATATAAGGGGCCATGGATCCCCTCTGTAATTACTAGTTAGAAGCAACAGTCTTATTTTATCCCTTTTACCTGTGAAGCTGGAAGCTGTTAGGTGGCGATACTAATAGTTTCATTTGGTGAACTTAGCCTGCGTACTGAGAGTAGTAGTTCTTAGCATCCAGCCTGTGATAAAAAAACCCAAACCCTATCCTTAAACTTGAGTATAAAATGAGTTTATTTAAATAAGTACGAAGAGGAGGTATAGCTAATTCTCGACTTTCTATAACCATCGCGAATTTCAAATAATCTAGATCCTGTTTGATGGTGAGTACCCGCTACTAGGATATACATTAGTTCCTGCTGGTAACCCCTTTATAACTCGGCACTGTCCCCGTCTGGCTAAAGAGCTAGAATAGAAGATATATATATATGTAAGTTTGAGTTGTAGATATAAACTACTATCGTTCTGGACTTAATATTATAGTATCGCCCCTGGGGTGGGAATAAGCTCGTAAAGTAATACGGTCTCTGGTTGTGATTCTGGTTTAAGTTATGTACCTTGCAAGGGGAACTAGGAGGTAAGTGAGGGCTGAAAGTTATCTGAGGTTGAGCGAAAAGGGCAGCTCTATGACTGCTGGAGTAGCTGATTTTTCTCACGGTGAGCAACGGAATAGCATATATCTGATATGAGATACTGGCTGCTAAAATACCCTGCTAAAAATGTCCCTCTTTGTTCCTAACTGAGACGGCGATGTACTAATATATGAAGGCTAAGGCACACTTCACTAAATCACCGGATAACGCCATATTATCAGATGACTTTGAAGTGTTATAACTCTATTTCAAAATCGAGGTTTGGTTCTCTTACCCTCGTTCCTCTTCTCTCAGGTCCTAGTTTATTGGTTTATTATTATAGCTTAATGTGTAGATCACTGGAATATGTCATTAGGCATGTTATTAAAGTTAAGCTCTTGCCTTTTGTTAGAGGCGTGTGGGAAATGTCTAGCCTTAGGTGATGATGACATTGGTGAGCAGTGATTGGCTGAAACTTGGGCACCTTTAGTATCGTTGTAATCGCACATATTGTAGGAATACTACTATGTACCTGTAGAGTTTTGAGGACTTTTAGATGTCGGCAATGACGGACTAACCGATAGGTGGTGCCTAAACGCGGCGAATGAGTTATCTAACGACTTCCTGGAGAATTGCCTGGCTTCACCTTGAATCCACTGATTAATATTTGTATTATTGTAGCCTGAGTGTGCTATTAAGAAGTTCTTTAATTGGCTGACTTCTTCTGTTAACGCGCTGTATTCCCGCTGTAGAGAATGGTGCTTTGTCTCCTATATCCCCCTTGTTTCTTTGAGATTCTGTACCTACTTCTTCTTCTTGTGGCGACACTTGGACGTAGTAAGTTGATTCCGTTCAAGGTACTTATTTCGTTTTGGGTCTTTATATTTGTTCTTCGACTTTGGCTCCTGCTTTTAGAGCGACTGCTGCTTCTTTTGAGTAGGATTGCGAGTTGGTTTTTTGGCTTGCGAGTTATGGGATGAGGTAGAGGAAATAAGCGATGGAAATGAGGAGTTGCTTGATGTATGGGATGACTTTCTCGTGGC